TGATGTCGAGAATAAAGTAGAGAACAAAGTGGAAAATCAGATAGACGAGACAGAGAATAAACTGGAGACCAAAACGGAAGATGACATCGAGAATAAGGTGGAGAACAAAGTGGAGAACCAGGTAGACACAGCAGAGAATGAAGAAGTGAGCAAGACGGAGGGTGATGTCGAGAATGAAGTGGAAAACAAAGTGGAGAACAAAGTGGAAAATCGGATGGACAATACGGAGAATAAACTGGAGACCAAAGCGAAGGGTGATGTCGAGAATAAGATGGAGAACAAACTGACGGAGGATCAGGTAGACGAGACAGAAAATAAAACGGAAAGCAAAACGGAAGACGATGTCGAGAGTGAAATAAAGAGCCAACTGGAGAGCAAAGTGGAGACAGGCAGCATTGTCGGCAATGAGATAGAGAACCAACAGAAGCAGGAAGATATTCTTTCCGTATCACACACAAGTAAGATATTAGCATTTTTCTTCAACCTTCGAAATGTTGTAACGTACGAATATATATTCAATCACCATGACGTGTTCCTATGCTAAAATCAACCCGCTGAAATTATTTATATCATTGTGCGTTTTGTCACCATGTTATAACCGGTATAACCAGTATAACTAGTTGTGCATCATTTATCAAAAATTAAATTATGCGTATTTTTAAGTTGTTTTCGACGCTTGATCCAGAGAACGGTACGAATCTTACAATTAGTAAAAATAAGGAAATTTTTACAAATACGAATTTCCTTTTAATTGAAATCCAGTTTGAAATCGACAATCAATTCTCGTTTAATTCGAAATCATTGAAGTTCATGATGAATAAAAGAAAATAAAAATTCAATGTTTATTTTGGAACAAGATACTGCAGCTACATTTGAGTACAACATTATTACAATATAATGCAGTTTCATTCTTTACAAAGTAATTCGCAAATTGGATCATATTAACCTTTTGCACTCGCTTTATACTCGACATCACATTTCATTCCAGCAACTTGAATGTCGAGTTATATTCGACATGGATACTTTCAAGAGTTTATTGTATTTTTTTATGTTATTAAATCTTTATATATTTACATATATACATATACATATAAATATGACGATGCGTCATATAATAGAATCCAATTTTATTTTCGAAAATGAACAACTTTTATTTAATTATCGAGTTATTGGAATGAATTGTTGAATTTCTTACAAAGTGCAAAGGGTTAAGACTAAAATCTATTTAAGTCCGACACAAAAATCCTTACGAAATAAGATCTGGAAACGTGAATTTACAACAATGTTAATTTTCAACATTAAACAAGTTCTGACGTGTGCTGGACTGGAATTTCGTCGAAAACAATATCGAAGCTACGGAATGATATCGTTATATATGCGCATTCTTGATATTTCTGAGAAAGAATCCCACATTCTACAAGAACTCTATCAAAGATGATTTGAGAAATTTCAGATATAATTGCAAATCATCCCATTCGCGGTACTTCTTTTTCACAACATCATCGCGACGATAAACAAAAGAACTTTTCGCGGGGCGATTCAAATTTCTCGCGCCAACTCAGCAAAATGAACTTATAGCGAACAATTAATAGAACAACGAGAAGTTGGCAACTTACCTATCTCGATGATTTGTACGATCGACGATTTGTCGGCGAGCGCGCGTAACTCCTGCAAAGATTTCCCTCATTTTTCTTTCTCTTCCTCTTTCCGTTTAAACGCGATTCAAACGAGAGAGAGACGAGGGAGACGAAGAGGTCCGTCGCAATTATCTCTCAACAGCGGTTTAACAAGATCACGTATAACGCGATAACGTGAAAAACCGGTCCCAGATGCTCCGTTTCGGCCGGCCGGAGTTGCTTGCGCAACGATCGACGCACACCGGTAATCGAGTATAAATCGCGTTCGCTAGCTGACTCACCGCGCGAAACCGCGACGACGCGCGACGGAAGGGGAAAACCGAGGAGAGAGAGAGAGAGGAGGACGACGAGAGAGGAACGGTATAATAGATGGCGGTGACGGAAGCGCTTAAGGTTACGAGAAAGCGTCCGTCGGTGTCAGTGTGAATTAACCGTTGCTCCGGTCGAATCAAGTTCGGTGAGGAAAGGAACGGCAGAGAGACCTCGACCGCCTCGACGCTTTGACGTTACGGTTTATTACGACGCGAGGACAAATCGCGGGAAAAAAAATTCATTCCTTCGCGCGAGGAGCAAAGAGAGTCGCGATGGCGCCGATCGGTAAGTATACGTATACCGTTCTCCCACGTGTGAAAGTTGCGTAACGCGCGACAATCGACAATTCTGCTGATCGCCCCGATCGCGCGAGTCGACGAGTGGATTTAATCGATTAATGGAATTAAACATACCCCGCCCCGCCCCGCCCTGCCCCGCGGCCTTACCGTCGCCCTGCTCGCGTCGCGGCAGGTCGCGAAGACGTTCTCCGGCGGCCTCGGCGACTCGATCAGGTGCCGCACCAGGCCCAGGCCCAGGCCGCGGTTGCAGCCGGTTATAAGGATCGATCTCATCGCGTTGTTCGCGTTCGGTTGATCCGGATAACCAAGACCAGCGTCGTCGTCGACGTGAACGAAACGGCGGAGCGCGGGGTGCGCGTGCGGAACTAGTAGTATAGTAGATAGAGATAGAGCGACGGCACGCGCGTCTCGCGACCTCACTATCCTTTCGTGACGGCGCGGTGCGGCGCGGTGCGGTGCGGTGCGGTGCGGTGCAGTGCGGTGCGTCACTGACGGCTGACGTCAGTGACGTCACGTGCTCCGACTATCGTGAATTGCATGTCGCCGATTATCATGGCGACACTGACGGTGTTCGCGCGGCTCGTGTCACTTCGGCCCGCGCACGCCAAGCTGCTCGGGTTAGCGCGCCGGCAGAAGACGCCCCTCGCTGGATGCGACTTCGGTCTCGTCTACGGTAGAAGCGCGATGGCCTGCATGTGCAGTAAGTGTCTCGGCGGACTACAATCCGGACGATCGGAGAGTAATCGCGATTGCGGTTTGTTATGTAAAAATTGCGCCACCGGCTCGCGCGCGCCAACTCAACCCGACTCGAACGATTCTCGAAATCCAGTTTACCGTGATATATTTCCACGGATGACAGATGTCGATACCTGAGACGTCTTTCCATGATAATTTCTAGCCGTCTGCGTTGTCCGTTGAAATTTTTTTCACTTTTTTACAACGCTGTGTAAAGCTTAACTTTGGAGAGAATTTATCTCATTAGTCCATTTCTATCAATACAGATTAATTTTAATCTCTGTTTAACTTATCTTTTATCTTTACCTAGTTCTAAGGATTAGAAAAAGATAAAAAGTAAGTTAAGCAGAGATTAAAGTTGATCTGTATTGATAGAAATGGATATAAGGGATCTTATACATGGTATAACGGATGAAATTGTCTTTCAGCGGATCAGGGTTACACGTACGATCTCTTGGTCATCGGTGGAGGATCTGGAGGTCTGGCAGCAGCTAAAGAAGCTGTGGGACTGGGAGCAAAAGTCGCAGTTTTGGATTACGTGTCTCCCTCTCCGATTGGCACCACTTGGGGCTTGGGTGGTACCTGCGTCAACGTGGGATGTATACCGAAGAAACTCATGCATCAAGCTGCGTTGCTCGGTGAAGCTATTCATGTACGCAAACGTTTTTAATTGTGGCGATTCAAGTGACGTAAATGATTTCGCATCTGATTTGTGACTTGTCTGATTTGTAGGAAGCGGCAACGTTCGGTTGGCAGCTAGATCCGAAGACTGTGAAAATTGATTGGGAGGCCTTGAGAACCTCCGTACAAAATCATGTCAAGTCTGTCAACTGGGTCACTCGTGTCGAGCTTAGAACAAAGTTAGTCGTTTTCTCATTTTTCTGTTTGCATATCAATTCATGTCTGTATTATTAATTTTGTTCATGTATTTATTCATATTCATATTGGTACCATATTTACTTTCTTTACACAAGTTTATTTACACATATCCTGTAAAATTACGTTTAATATAATATTTTTTTTCCATCCAAATCCACGACTTGACTTAAAAAAAAGTGATTATAGCAATATATTATGGCAATCATTGCCAATTCATCGTTCATAAACTGAGTCATCTTGAAAATTACTGAATTCAAACTGATCAAGCTGTAAGGATATGTGTGAATAATTATCACTGATATGTCACGGATATGTGTAAATAGACCTTTACTCTGTTAGTTACCTATCTAAATATTTACTTTGGAAAAGTATTTACCTATGTAAATATTTACTTACAGGAAAGTTGAGTATTTCAACGCTCTTGGACACTTCAAAGATGCACACACGGTAGTTGGAACTACCAAGAAGGGGGAGGAAAAAGTTTTTACGGCTAAAGACATATTAATCGCGGTAGGTGGCAGGCCCAGGTATCCCGATATTCCAGGTGCTGTAGAATACGGTATAACTAGCGACGACATCTTCAGTTTGGAGCGGGCTCCAGGAAAAACCCTCGTTGTTGGTGCTGGATGTATCCTTTTTCAATAGAATTTTATACGATTTGTTTTTAGATTTTCTATCGTAACATGTGTAAAAGTGCAAATTAAGATTTTCCTTAGTGATGAGATATAGATATTGGTCTGGAGTGTGCTGGCTTTCTTAATGGCTTGGGTTACGATACAACGTTAATGGCTCGTTCGATTGTGTTGCGCGGATTTGATCGGCAAATGGCGGAACACGTTGCTGAAGAGATGCAGCAACGCGGCGTGAATTTCATCTACGAGGCGAAGGTTAAGAAAATAGCGAAACAAGAGGATGGCCGCCTTCTGGTTGACTGGGTCGACAAGGTATGCATTTATCGACAAATTTAAACGTACAAATGAAGAAATAAATCTGCATTAGAGTGTAATATAATTTGAATTTTTTAGGATGGTCAAATTCATCAAGATGTCTATGACACTGTTTTATTTGCTATCGGTCGACGATCGCTCACTCAAGAGCTGAAACCGGAGAACGCCGGGTTGAAGCTTATTCCAGAAACTGGAAAGATCGATGCGGTTAACGAACAATCGAATGTTCCGAACATTTACGCAGTTGGCGATGTACTTCATGTAAGTTTTTTTTAACATGTATCGAAAATATGTCGTAAACAATTATAATTTACATAATTTTAAAATGTAAATATTTTTATTATTTTAATATTTAATTATAATGCTAAATACAATTGAGAATTTTAATGTAACATAATATAAATACAACATGATGAAATAATTTTTTTATATGTTTGTTACAGAAAAAACCCGAATTAACACCCGTCGCTATACACGCGGGTAAATTGTTGGCTAGAAGATTGTATGGTAATTCGACTGAGAAAATGGATTACACAAATGTAGCGACGACGGTGTTTAGTCCTTTGGAATATGGATGTGTCGGACTGAGCGAAGAAGCGGCGGTCGCGCTTCACGGGCAAGATGAGATAGAAATTTTTCACGCGTACTACAAACCAACGGAATTTTTTGTACCCCAGAAGAGCCCCGATCGTTGTTACGTGAAGGTCGTCGCGCTTAGACACGGCGATGAAAGGGTGCTCGGAATGCACTTTGTCGGGCCCAATGCGGGCGAAGTAATTCAAGGATTCGCGGCTGCTATTAAGTAAGCGCTTGATCCATAACGACTCGCCGATAATTTCTTTAAAAGTTAAATTTCAGAGCTGTATAATTCATATTTTATTTTTTCGCAGATGTGGCTTAACAATACCGAAACTGAAGTCCACCGTCGGCATACATCCAACGGTAGCGGAGGAGTTTACGCGCATATTCATTACTAAACGGTCGGGCTTGGACCCTAAGCCGCAAAGCTGCTGCAGTTAGATCGATGAACGCGTATCGTCCATCTTGCTTTTCTCGATTACATTCACAGATTTATACCGATTATCCATTAGAAGATAACGCGGTCCATACTCTTGTGGTTTAGAAGTCAGCCGAATATCTTTTAGCTGAAACAGTTTTTCATCGTTACGTATGAAAAAACCACCGTTATACGAGAAATACGCTGAAATACAGCAGTATTACATGAAATAAACAGCGAAAGAATAGAATCCAGAAAGAGAACAGATGATCCGTTTTAATTATGTCACACTAATAGCACCTTTTTATATATTTTTTTTCACGGAACTTGCGTACGCATTATAGCATACGCATCATCGATGCAAAAAATTATCGTGATGCTTATTTGATAGCTTATTAATAATAAATCAATATTAATAAAACGTTGAAATCATGACTGACATGATTGCAAGTAGTGATTGCTTTTAAAACAATTCCTTATATGTATAAAAATAGATTTCCTCACCAGTATCCAAAATAAATTTCCTACTTAAGCTCAATTATTTATCTTCGAATACAATAGTAGCAAATAGAGTTAGTAATGTTTTTGTAAATCATTTTAAATGGTTTCACCATAGCAAAATATTCACAAGATACTGCATTTCTAACGTGATAGAAACTATATTTTTATAAAAATAACTGCGTTATAAATTTATATTGCTATTATAATATTAAAAATATCAAATAAATTTGTATATGTGTTTAAAAACAATTTTTGTTATCTCTAATATCAACGAAATCATCTTGAAAACCTAATGCGAATTCTACTTTATCAATTTCAATCCTCTCTATCCTATCAATTGACTGTTGTACAGTCGTAGTTTGTTATAAGATGGCGATTTATACCACCGCTTCTCCATCGGTTGCCGATCGATCTCAAATCAAAATTAACGAAGAGACGGAAACCATTGAAACAAACGCGAAGAAAAAATGTCTCGAGCAAAGATTCGCGGAGCACGATCTTTGCCCGTTCGTGAGTAAAAAATTGAAAAAAGTAGTGCACTATTGGCAAATCTGATATTTTTTTAGTAAAAATTTTTTAAATAAAAATTGTTGCTTTTCTTCAGAAACTGCAATGGTCCTTCGGGATGAATCCGGAGGCACCAGTCATAAATCTAACTACCGAAAATCGCGCGTTATTGGCATACGCCTGTTCGCACGTGGCCGTGATTTACGACTATAGTTCGAGGAAAATGTTACCACTTCTAGGTCATGTCGGTATACGTTTGGATTTGCCGCAAAACAATGATAATTACTGGCAAATAGTACTGAAGAGAAACCTAATTGTCCTTTTTAGCGAAACGCAGTTAAAATTCTGTCAACTTCGCGTGACGGCAAGTGGTTGCTAACAGCGGATTCCGGGAAGGATAGTGCGGTAGTGGTTTGGGACACTGAAAAGGGGTAACTATTTTTCTTTCAGGTTTCGTACAAATATAGTGACATGTTATGTATCGAGAAGTTAGCGAAATTATTGATGTCTTCATTCAGGGTTCCTGTTTGCACATTATTTAAGCCACATGGTAGTGAAGATATCGCAGCTGCTGGTATCAGTCCTAATGCTAAACAAATAGTCACCGTTAGCGATGGAAAATGTCAGAATGTGCATTTCTGGCTGTGGACTAATGGAAGCGATAAATCGGATGGTTTGCCGGCTTGATCTGTACATTCGTTAATCATGCATTTATTTGTTTAAAAAGTTCGATGCCATAATATCAATTATATCTTTATATTGGGAATTATATTTGCATCTTGATGTTTTTTTACATTATTGTTACATATCTAGTAATTATTTTTACAAGAAAATTTGTCCAATTATTAAAATAGGAAAATGCAATTATTATGACTAAAATTTTAAAGATTTTATCTGTGATTATAGAATTTAGAACAGTAATCCAGAATCATGCTGATTTATTTATTAATCAATATATTTTCAGCATCGATATCGTTAATCAATATTACATCTGAACGTGTCAAGGGAATAACTTTCAACGACGAGTGTTCGGAACAATTTGCATTGACCACCGATTATCATGTCTTATTCCTAACTTGGGTTGGTGAAAATGCATTATTTTATTTGTATAATTGTATATATTTTGGAGTTAAACGAAATAGCGATATAATTTAGTTTTAGTAAAAAGTTATGACAATATTTTGAAGTATAATTTCATGCAAAATTATTTTGGTTTCTTTAGGTTTATATAAAATTTCAATTTTTTTCTTTATAAAATAAGTATTTCAAATGTAATATAAATAACACAATATAGGTATATTTTTAAAATTAAAACTGGGAAGAAAAAATGCTAGATATTTCATAAAAAAAAAGAATACTTCAAAAATCTATTTCATGTAATGTTTGATTTAATTTTAAAAATATAACAACTTTATTTATGACACTATTTATTGTGTATTATATATTATGTATCTCTTCTGAATTTCATGAATAAGAATGGTCACGCTTTGAGCTACGATTGCCCCAAAATTATGACAAAATTTCAACATATTGGTATCTTTAATGTGTCATGCTACGTTCCAAAAATACAACAAGCATTGACAGCGAGTACAAATGGTACCGTCTGTTTATTACTTGTTTATTAATTTATTAATCTGTTATCTATTAATTAATAATCTGATTAAATAATATTTGTCCGATATTGCTATTATCTCAGGTTGCGTTTTAATATGGGGCAATGTTTCTTGTGAAGACAAACATGCTGTCGATGATACTGGTTGTAAGAAGAAGAAACATATAAAGACTCTTAATTTACAGAAAAGCAGTATTACTGTTATGCTTGATAACGAAGGGTATATATAAATTTAGAATTTAAAATCTCTCTAGTAAATTTAGCGATAGCCGCTTGTAATGATCTAATCGTTGATTTCACAGTATGCTTGTCACGGGAAATTTGAATGGCCGCATTACTTTCTATGATTATCAATTAAGACTTTTATATTGGTGTCAGAGTTGCGATCTAGACTCCATTCGATGGATAAGCTTCGATCTCCAATCCAATTTGCTGGCTCCGGCATTTGCCGATAATGTACCTGAAAGTAAGACTTATTTTGAAAGGATCAGCCTAATGTCTTTCTTTCGAGAGTCCTGGTTTTTCAGGGTTTCAAGATTGTTCCTCTTTATCATGTGTTTTTTTATTTGTTTTCAATGTGTAAAGAGGAAAGCAAAGGCTTGTGCATATCAATATACTTAACAGAGAGGAAAAATAGAATGTAGATCGTGTCCAACTGAAATATTTTCATGAATCAGACGAGCGTCAAGATAATAGCAAAACGGGGACAGTCTTATCAGAACTCACTATAAATGCAGAACACATTCTACAAAACTACAAGAGTAATAAATCCACGGCAACTAACGAAACAATACCGAGCTTTTTTCCAATGGATACTACGTTACAGCGTTCTCCATTTAATGTCCGAAATTTTCTTGCATGTAAGAAAATTCTTGAAATGATTCCCGATATTATATGACTTATTTAATATATTATACATAAAACATTACACACATACATATTTTACATTCAGCAATATATTATAACATATAATATAGATATTACTGAACATAATATCGCATTCTTCTTTTATCTTGAATTTTTTTTGTCTTAGGTTCTTTTACGGGCGTAATAGCACTAATAGAAATCCGAAAGCAGAAATGTCACCTTGTGTTTCATCATCCGGTTTCAATTCCGACTTGTATGGACGCTCACCCAGAAAGGTAGAATAATTCAAAACAGGCATCTATAACAAGATTTTGTTGAAATGAATGCAATAATGTAATAACAATAGTAATTTTTCAACGACAGCAATTATGTGGTTGTGGGTGACGCGCAAGGTACTGTGCATTTATACAATCATGAAAAGTGCACTCTGATAATATCCAGGAGCACGCCACCTCTTCCGGACTATCAGCCGATTCTCGCTAAACAAATTACCGACGAAAACATCGTTTATGTCACCTGTCCGCAAAGTCACGAGACCTTGAAGACCGTCACGGCTCTAAAGTTCTCACCGAGATGTATATATCGATGAATGTCTCTTTATTATTATAAAGGAAGAGAAGAAAATCTTCTCACGAGAAAAATACTTATCTTCTTTTAGGCGATATGCTGGTGTGCGGCTTAGAAAATGGAGCGATTTGGATTCTACATCACATTACCTTGGATCCTATAGACGAAATACCGTACAAGCATTCTTCGGCGGCTGTTAATAAAATCGCTTTCACGCGGTGCGCGAACTACATGGCTTACGCGGTAAGAAAGCCTGACTGTCCCGCATTTCATGGTATGCGAATAACGTTATGACAACACATTTAATTATTAATTTAGTAAATAAATTTATCGACTTTTAAGATCAATGAATGTTTTTAGGATAACGCGTTGACGGTGGTAGTATTTAAAAGAAATGAGACCGTCGCGTCGAAGGAATGCAACATGTGGAACTTGATTGGAAAATATCACTCGCACTATTTACCTATCAGAGACATACTTTTTGGTAATTCGGCCGCATCCGATTCCGATGCACCGCGGTTTTTTTCTTTGGGAGAGGATCGAGAGCTCGTCGAATACGATCTCGCGCGCAGGTTGTATATATCTGTGAATTATATTGTTTTATCCATGGAAATTGCTTCGAAGATGCGAATTCAAATAAATTGATGGATTCAAATAAAATATTTAAATTTTATTGTGAATAAGATTAAAGAAATTGGATTATAAGTGGCCTTAGTTTACACCGGTCTCTTGATACGCGTATCAAATGGTATATTTGAGCTGATCAGCCAATAATCAAACTAATTTACTAGTTATTTACTATTTAATACGCGTATCAAGTGATCGGTGTAAACTAGGCCAGTATGTAGAATATTATGTCATTATATACTGAGCAGTTTATAAGGCAATAGAACAAATAAAAGATTTAGTTAATTTTCCAAGCATTTGAAAATGGTAATAATTTGCAAGCTACGTTTTATAATTCCATTACAGCGGACCATATCCAGTGCCAGGACTTCAAATTTTACGTATCGATCAAATCGAACAGAGCGCCGTTCCCCTTTGCCTAGCATGGTATCCCGAGTCCGGTACTGAAAGATTCCTCATGATCTCAAATTCTGAAGTAATAGTCCTGCGATTCATCTAGATTGCGTGAGCAAAACATAATATCCTAATCTATAATTACAGCACAAATACAAGATCTTCAGTGATGTTACCAAAACAATTCACGGTACTTACTTAGGACCGACCTTCGAAGAGCCAGTAGAATATTTTCAAGTAATGCAATGGGACTTTATTTTAGGACAATCTTCCGATCGATTTGAATATACAGAGACCTCTAATTATCAGACTAATAATCACAGTTTCTTTAGATTTAATTTTTTTCAACAAAGATATGATCTTCAAATATCCTACATATAATCACAAGCAAGGACACTTCTCTGATCAATTAAATACTTATTAAAGTATATATAATTGCGGTGAAATATGTAAATTATAGTAGGAACATTGTAAACAAATATTTAATCAACAAATAGTTAATCAATAAACAAACTTTAAAAGTCATAAAAATAATAAAAAATTAAGCGCGTTAATTTGACATATGTAAGTAGACGATTAATTAATAAATAACTACATTTTTTTCCTCAAAGATATTCATTAAATATCTTATAATGGTGTAATTAAAAAATATAAAGAGCATATTATGAATTTTGTATTTAATTTAAATTTTTACTTTCTCAATTATCAAAAGAAATATGTCCTCGCTTTATAATTAATTAACTAGCATACTGCGTTAAAAATCGCTACAATGTCTATAGATCTTAGCGGACAAACTTGTTAACAATAATGGCTACATGGTGTTCGCGACCGACAGAGAAATTGGCCTTCAGTTATTGCCTTTGGACGGCAATCCATACAAGGTCGTCGGCATGACGGGTCATCCGCAAAAAGTTAGACGTTCTATGTACATATTTACGTTTAACTGACATACACGAGTATTATAATCCATCTCTATTTACAGATAATAAGTATTTCTATCAGCAGCAATAAAGAAATACTCTTTACCGCAGGCTACAACGATCCGTGTGTGTTAGTGTGGAAAATCAAATTCAGGTTGATTTGCGTTATATAAAGTAGTTTGGACTCCCGGCTTTCTATTGCGACCGTGTTGAATTTTGATGTCAAACGTGAGAAATCATATATATATATATATATATATATTTTTTTTTTCTGACATATTATATACTAAAACAAATTCTTTATTGACAAGCCTATCATTTAATTAAATACGTTTTAATCGATTAATTAAAATTTATAATTATTTGTTATTTTGTAAACTTAAGAAAGTCATTGGTATTATTATTAGTTGCTCTCGTTTTATCAAACATGAGTGATATACAAGGGAAAAATTCATTTTACTTCGGTCTGTATTGTAAAATTAAATTTCTCGATTCTGACATCATCTTCTAACACGGCCGTAATGATACATGACGAGTTTTAATACCATTAAAGAGATATCATTGTTCTAGATCCGTTGATGTAATGGCGCGATTAGGTGGCGAAGGACTCTCGCCGTTTTACAGCCTTATCGAAGGTGGGAAAAAAGGATGGTTGGCAAATGAGATGAAGGATCTGTTCTATTATGCGCAGATATTACATCAGGGCGAGAATACGATCGCTGCTAAAACCATCACCGACACTGTGGTTGTCGAGCAGATTCCGAATCTTATGCGAGCTATGGGATATTATCCGACCAACAAAGAGGTATATTTTTGCAGTATCACAAAATATACAAACGTTTTAAAAGTCAGGATTTCAATTTTAAGTGACGAATCCTTTAATATATAAAATATTTTTTTTCCAAAAAAATGTACTATTTGATTCATTAAAAAAATTTTTGATACTAGGCATCTTTCTTCTGCTGTTAAGTTAAAAATTTTTGACAATAAAATCCGTTTGTATTCAAGTGAACAATCGATTTTTGTTCTTGTATTGATTGCGTTAAAATATATAGTAAAAACTTCTCTATTTATTTCGAGACATTGTATGTATCAAGTATAAAACTCCCTAAGATGAATTTATTTTTCAGATAGATAATATCATGGCTGAAGTACGCTACAAATATGTTGAAACCAGTAAACTTGTCGAAGAGATTAGTTTTGAAGAATTCGTGCGACTCTACGTGAATCATCGACCCGCGTTCGGACTTTGCATACGCCACATAAAGAAAGCCTTTTGTACATTCGTCGAAGAGAGTTCCGTTAGTATGGACAATCCTACCTTAACGCGAGAGCAGTTTATAGATATTTTACTCGGTGGGACGATATTGAAAACTTTGATGGAAGATGATAAACCTATCGGTAAGTCCGTTAATTGAAATTACTTATTATTAATTCCGTCAAAAGTATTTTAAATTACTAACATTACTAATTATATTTTAATATAAGCTAATAGTTTATCAAATTTAGTCTGAGACTTATTTCTATTTAGTCCTTTTTTTGTCTTATGCTTCTATTTAAAATATGTAATCATGTTTGAAATTACGTGTATATCAATAAATACAACAAATTGTGCTTTTTTTTTTAATAGAAAGAAAACATAAATACTTCATCAAAGTTTAAATAAATTGCGTAGAGTTAATAAAATTGAAACTGGACTTGCACCATTTTCAAAATAAATGTCTTATTTCTGGTGTTCAATAACGTATCTTCCTCTTCTTATTTATTTTTATATTGCTATTTGTCACAGGTGAACCGTTGACTTTGCAAGAAGCGTATACACATCTCAAGACAATCATGTCTCCCACCGAGGAAATGGTCGAGGCTCAACCAAGTCTGTCGCAAAGATCCGTGTCTTTCAATTTCCGTTTTCTCCCGCCGGTAACTATCTCCCTCGCGTGCACAATATGTTTTAAATTTAAAAGACGGAAATGTGGGCGATAAATAAGATATACTCGTAGTTAGGCTTCCCGAGAGTAATGTATTATTACGTTATGTTACAGAGGATATCTTACAAAGATTTCGCCATGGATATCATGGGTGTCAAATTGCCGGATGAAACTATGGCTGACAATTGAGGAAATCAGCACGGTCACTTGCAGTACTCTAAGAGATATTTTTTTTACAGCTATGTACCGCTGTGACGAGGTCCGTTGAACGCAAGCGATCGATAAACCAAAGATAAAAACCGCGCGCACAACTGTTTCGTTCTTTTAAAATTTAAACTAAAATTAAGAGAGGCGCTAAAAGAAAACGCCGGCGTTTGTCCGTCGTTCGCTCCTTCGATTCGCGTAAAAATGTATATAAGTTATACAGCACACGAAATTCGAGGAGATAATATAAAACAGCATGATGTAGATTCGTACTTGTTGCTGTAATACTGTTCAGCAAAATTTTCAATGAACATCTCATCATCTTCTAATATTATGGTACTTGCGATTGCGTCGTTATTTTATTAATCGACAGTTCATAGCCAAAGAACGACGGCCGTCTTCTGCCTGTTGACTGATATTTGTAAATCCGATACGATAAGATTAATACAACCACAGACAATTACCATTGACCGGCTTTTTCTGCTTGGCACAGAACTGTCGGCGGAAGGAGGATGTTTCGACTGAAAGAATAAGGTTTTATTCCAAGACAATACTTATACGATAGACTAGAAGCAAGGAAAGATTCGCCTCCCGAGAGGTACATTGCTTTGAGGAAGCGCTACACAACGATATTCGTACACCGCTGTCATTAAAGAAACCAATTAATGACCCTTAGCGGATACAGCGATTTAAAAATTTAGAGTCCGGAATCAGTAAAAAAACAAGACAATCGTTTTCGTATCCGCGGTTTCAGAAAAATTGAACTCGACAGTTATACATTTAGCAGCGTGGTCTTGCCGGACCAACGGAGAGGTATCGAGAGTTCGAACGCCGATCGCAATGGGGATAGCTAAGACCGGGGTACAGACACCGCCAGAAATGCCAACGATCGTAAATGTAATTGCAATCAGGCGCGTCAGGCGAAGATCCCAAGATTCGTGAGACGCAACCTTGCCACATTGCTAGGCTCGCGTACAATTTCGCACCGTTATCTACATATCTATCACTAACAAGGTACCATTTTCAAGGTACCAAAACACCGTTTTTACGGAAATTTGCCCGATCCTACCGATCTTTGTTAGCTTATAATACAGTATTAATTTTATTGTTATCTAGATACTTCGTAGACAGGTGACATTATTTGTCTACAACAATATTACATACAATAAATACAATATTTATTATAATATTGTATTTTTATTCAAAATTGTACTCCATTCCACGTTTAATGACGCAGATGAAAAAGTGCAATTTTGCAGCAATATACATATATTGTTGCAAATACGTATGCTTTTTATGAAATATCTATATATAAATAAACCGTGAAACGAATACTGTATTATAAGTTTAATTCAGAGATTTACGTGGTTAAAGCAAACCTTGTTGATGGTAATACCTTGCCGGTGATATCATCTATCTACTTATTTACTCATCTACCTATTTTAACGCTATGTATTTATACAATACGCCGTCGTTAAAAGAAGTACAAAGAAATGTACACAAAAAACCTTATTTCATTCTTATAATTATTCTAAGACGTATTTACATAGTTATGTACAAACACTCTGTGTATCGGCTTAAGAAAAATATCAACGTGGAACAGTGTAGCAATGTTTTTTTTTTCTTTTCGTACGCTCGTGAAAAAGAAAGAAGAAAAATTCTAGCATTTACCTCTAAAAAGCAACGATCCGATCGCTCGAATTTAATAATAACATACTGTCGACGTTGTCGTCCCATGCGACAACTATCAATCGCAGTACTCGTCGTTCTGTACGATACCATGCTTCTTCCTGCAGTCTGGACAGTACCATTTGCCCTTGGGCGGCACCATTATACCAACACATTCGAAATGGAACCACTCGATGCGACAATCCTCACCGTCGCAGGCTATCATCTCCGACACCTCGTCGTACGGGCAACGACAATAACAGTAGATCTTGCCAGGTCGCTCCGTGATGGACGCGCCGACGGCAGGCGTCATCGGGTTGATCTTCGGCTGACTTACGGTGACGGTATTCTCTGCCTCGGATTCGCTGCTGTCGCTGCTGCTCTCCGCGGTACCTTCGGATTCGGTGGCGGACGCCGGCGCGGCGATTGGTGACGCCTCGGGTAGAACCGCTTGCGGCTGGCTCGCTGCCTGTTCCACTTGAGCAGGCCTGTTTCCGTACGTCTGTATAATGGTCTTCCCGCCTAAGGACAATCTCGATATCAGCGGCTTCGAATTTGGCGGCGTCGTTATCGTCGTCGGCGGTAACGGCGCGAAAGCCGGGGTGATGGTGGTGGTAGCTGTGGAGATGCTTGTCTCGATTTTCCGCCATCGACCGAACGACTGCTTTTCTTGCGGTTCGTCGTCGCTCGAGTCGCCGTAAAAACGCTTCGGCACGCGTTTCCTCTTCGAGACTCTCTTGTTCTCCGTATCCGTGCCGCCGCTGCCGCCGACGTTCTGATTCGGTATGCCGGCGACGGCGGTGGCCAATAACGCTTGCTGTTGCTGCTGCTGTTGATGATGCATCTCTGCCGCGATGTTCGCAGCATTGCCGCTGTGAAAGTCGTTGCACGTTGCAGCCGGCAGCAGGTTCGGCGTCGAAGACCTGCTGTTGGGATGTAACGTCGGCTGAGACGATGCAACGAATCCCGCATTCTTCTGGTAAAGTGCCTTGGGAATGTTCAGTTTGATCGATTCCACGGTGGCTGTTGTAATCGCGTTACGTTTACCGCTTCTCTCGCCCTTTCTTCGCTTTTTCGTCTTCGTTTTCCTCTTTTGCTGCTGCTGCTGTTGTTGCGGTTGCTGATTCTCGAGGGTCATTGCGATCGGATCCGGCAGTGCCGTTTCCGCGACCAGAATGCCGTTGTTCAGTGGCATTAGCGGTTGTTCTATCGCCGGCATCAACGTCGAGGTCGGCGTCGAGGTTGGCGTCGAGGTCGGCGTCGATGCCGGCGCTACAGTAGCCAACAACATCAATTGATTACGCTTCTCTGCCAACAATTTATTAGCGAGCAGCTGAGGATACTCGTCGTAGAAGTCCTCGTCCGTCTCAGTTTCCTCGGTCTCCAAGTCAGATTCTCGCAAGAGCGGCTTCACCGGCGAAGGCTCGCTCGTTACCTCGGGTACCATAGAACCGTTCTCCATTGCGACCTCCGGGTTATCTTCCGGCTTATTCTCTGGCTCGACAGACTGCGACTTGTTCTCCCGCGTGGTTTCCCTCTCCTTCTTATTTCGGTCCTTACGACCGCCCGATTGCTTCCTGGGTAAACTTTCGGATGCGGAGCTGTCGGAATCGGAGCTGCTGCTAGAGCTGGAGGAGCTGCCGGACGAAGAGCTGCTGCAACTGCAGTTAGTGCCGCAGGAGCAACTGCTCGAGTCACTGTCGCTCGAAGAGTCGCTTGTGGACGACGTGCTGCCGCTTCGTTTCTTCTTCTTGGGGGTCTTCGCCTTCCGTTTGTTCGCGTCGCTGTCGCATCCAGTATTGCGACTCGGAGTACCGGGCGACGGACTTCTTTTAGATTTGGTTTCATTTGCTTTCGCGTCATCTTCCACTGAAGTAGCCTGATCTTCATTCTTCTCTTTGTCGGTGGAATATATCACGCAATAGTCGTGATCAGAAAGGACGATACTTCTCAAGTACGCGGCGTCAGTCTCAGGTACGCTCTCTTTCAACGCAACATTCTTGGCGGATTCTTCTACGTCGAGACTGGCAGCATACGTCTTAAAGTTGTCCCAGATGCCGTCCATAATGCGCGCTTCCTGCTTCTTCTCCTCCTCGTTCCGTTCTACCTCGACTATATCGTTGTTTACGGCGACGTCGTCGTCATCGGTGGTGGTTATTTCAGCGGTTTCACTCTTCTTCGTCGCGTCCTCGTCGATGTTCTCTTTCTCCGGTGGTTTTTCCGTGGAAGGGGGCTTCTCTTCCTCGCTATCCGTGTCGCTCTCGGACGACAGATTAAGCGGCGGCAGATCGTAAACGTCGACTACTCTTTTCACAGCCTCTTTGACGTTCTTTGACACGGTCTCGGTTCCCGTCGTCAGGTCCCCGTCGGTTGCCGCCACGGTCACATCCTTATCCAATTTCTCATCTTTGTCCGTCGGTGGAACGTTAACCACGTCTGTCACATTCACGTGGACGTCCTCCGGTTCGGGTTCCCTGTGAGCCGCTTGGTGCTTGGCTAGAAGCTTCCGCGATATGAAGCGCTGCCCGCACTCGTCGCAGCCGTACGGTAAATCGCCGGAATGCAGCCTCTTGTGCACCTTCAGCGCTACAGCGCGACCAAAGCTCGAGCCACATTCCTCGCAGACGAACGCCGTAGGCGGTATGCAGAAGTGATATATGTGCGGCCACTTCTTCTGCAGGCATTTCCGGCACAGGACGCTCTCCGTACCGTGCTTCCAGAAAAGATGTTTCGTGATATCCGGTTTGTTACGGTAGGCGATGCCGCATCTGTAACACAAATGATGTAGCTTGTGCTTCCACACGTGATTCGAGAGACGCTGCTGATTGCCCGTAGACTCCAGACAGACGTCGCAGGCGTGGTGACGTTTGCGCACGTGAACCATCAGTCGGAACGCCGATGGGAGACTCGCCACCGAGCAGAGGCAACATCGATATCGCAGATTTACATTCGGCGAGTAAACGCCGGGACACAGATGGCACACCAGCTCGCTGTAACTGTAGAACGTCGACTTGCACATTATGCAGATCAATATGGTCTTCTGATGCATCTTTCGGTTATGCAAGTACAGCTCCTTGTGCACGGCCGAATGAAATCTGCAATGAAAACACTCGTATATCAATACGTTTGGAACGTTGTACGTGCCGTCCGCGCTGTTGTACGTGTCCAGATTGAAATAACGGGACTCGAGCTCGTCGAGGGACCTCTTCACCCGCGCGGTGAACTGCTCCGCGTGTATAATTATCGCGGGATGCTGCGGCTGAAACTTGTGCTCCGCCAGCATGTGCAGGCCCAGCTGTCGGCCGTTGACGGCGATGTACCGCGCGTGATTGCAGTACACGCAGACAGGACTGGCCGCCTCTATGCAACGTTTCAGCAGTTCCTCCAGCTCCATGCTGTCCAGGGTGCCCTCGACGTTCAGGTCGATACATGGGACATCTTCACCGGCTAACACAATACCGCTGTTGTCAATCGTGTGACTACTCGTCTGTTCGTTTGCAACATCTCCGATTGCGTTACCGTCGGATGTCTCGTCAGGATTACCGATCGGCATCGTTTCCGTGACAGGAAATAATCTATCGGTATACGTCCCAGTTTTAGTCTCGTCATTTTCCTCCTGGTTCCTTTGGCTCTCGTCTTCCGCGTCGTCGTGCCTGTCCTCAGCCTCGTCAGCTTCTTCGCCCTCCTCGCCGTCCTCCACTTCCTCGTCTTCTTCCGGATTACTGTCCACTACCGCTAGTTTGTCGCTGTCGGAATCACTGTCGTCCAGCTCGTTCGCTTGATCATCGTCAACGATGTCCCTTTCCAATTCCGAACCGTTCGGCATTCTTTCCTTCGACGTTGACCCTTCGGCGTTGTTATTCTCCTCGGATTCCCTACTCGTGACGGTGGTCGTCGCGACGCTGAACTGCGAGTTCCTGTTGCAAATCTTGATGACCAAACTTCTATCGGACGAAGCAACAGCGTTAAATGAAACCGAGGCCTGAGATTCAGTGGTGTTCGTCGTGACAGGTTTCTCCACTTTTTTCTTGTCGACATCCTCGACATTTTCTTTCTCTTTGGGTTGTGAATCCGATATGTGCGATTCGTGTTGCGGACTAAACAATGAATGGCTGACGGGACTGCAACTCTGCACATCCCGTGGACTATCGTATTTAGTTCCGGTCTCGCACGTGGCGTTCACTTTCGTATCCGCTGTCGCAGTCTCCTCGGCATCCCACTGTACTGGACTAGGCGCTCTCGAACTGGCCGAGTGTGACGGATCAACGTCACTTTTGTCGCACGTTTCCTCGTCTTCGGTATTCATTTTTTCAACCGTGTGTGACGCAGGTATATTTGAGGTATACGCTGCATCCTCTCTTTCGTTCTTGTCTTCTTCACCTGTATAGCGTGATACCTCCATGATAGTCTCCGTTACACTGTCGTAAGGTTCACTGAAATCGAGCTGGCACGTTTGAACTGGCGACTTTCCGCCCGACCCTTTGTCACGATTGTTGTACACGTCTTTGTTCATCACCTGTTCATCGTTCTCGTCGTTCTCGTCAGACGAATTGTCAGCCCTGTACCTGGACACTTCCATTATCGTCTCGGTGACCGTGTCCCTGGGTAAGCTATTCGCAATTTCTCTTTGGACATCGAGACCGCAATCAAATTGATTCTCGTTACACTGGACTTTCGCGCCGAGCTTCCTCGTCGCCAGCGCGCTTGATTTTTGTTGGCGAGAATTTTGCACGTCGTCTCTTTCGCGTTTCTTCCTGTTGTATTTTATCGCTTTTCTTGGTAGTCCTTTACCTCCGAGATTCGTAGCTATCTCCGTCGGGGGAACGGTCGTCGGCGACGGATTGTCCGCGTACGTCGTATCGGCGACTGCCGGCGGCGTAGACGGGCTACGTAATTCCTTATCCGTGTCCGACAGCGTGAAATTACAGGTACTCGCATGTGTGCCGGTCTGTCTGCATATGGTGCACATTGACGCGACGGCAACGGTCGCGTCCTGTTCCAGAACTGGGGAGCAAAAGTGGTCGAAGAAGTCATCGGTCTCCGAGAACACCTTCTCGCAGCTGCAACAGATCAGATAGCACGAACCCTTGAAGGCGTTGTAGAAATCCTCCACCGAGGAGAACGCCATCTCCGGAACGCTGTGTTTCTTCATCAGATGGTACGACAGCCTCTCCGCCTGGCCGAACATGCCCAGGCAGAAGAGGCATATGTGACGCTTGTGTATGTCCCTCATGTGCAAGAACAGGTTCCAATTTTCGAAGTACGTGTTGCACGCCGAGCACAGGTAAACTTTTCTCGTGATCTTGAAGTTGCTCGCGTGCGGCACCGAGGCACTCGACTCCGAGGTACTGGGCATCGGCGTCATACTAGGATTACAGGCACACGAGTTCTGTCTCGAGTTGGGACCGCAACTGACCCACGCGTGACACTTGGAGCACTTGTACCTCGTGGACGGTCGTAGGCCCAGGTATTGAGCGTATTCCGTTATCTTACGCTTCCGCTTCCTCTCCACCCCTTTGTCCTTGCCGGTCCTCGCATTGGGATGGGTCGATTGCCGCAGCTCCGGCGAGCTGTTCTTCGGCGCGACGGCAGGAACCTCTCGAGCCTCCGCCAAGATGCGCTTCTTGAAACCCTTGAATACGAATTTTGGCCCCGCGATAGTATTATTACCCGGCGAGTCGCTCCCTATGATCGAGTTGTAGCGTATTAGCTGTTTCTCCTCCTCGATTACAGCGGTGTAAACATCGTCGATGGAATGTCTCAATGCGTTGCCCAATGTGGAATCTTTGAGTCGTTGCTCCTCCAAGATGTTCCACATATCTATAACCTTACTCTCTCCATCCTCATCTTCCATAATAGTAGGGACTGTTGCGGCGATCTACCTGAAATATACAAATTATGTATTGCAGCTACACGTACATTTACATATAAAGGGATAAAAGCCGTAGTGGGGTAAGTCAAAATTTTTTAAATATTGTCTCGTGTAGATGCAATTTATATATTGTATAGGTTGCATCGATGCACACGAGTCAATATTTGAAAAAAATTTGACTTACCCCACTGTGGGCTTTTACCCCTTCATACGTATATAAATATAAAATACGCATGAGCAAATATAAATTTTTCCAGTAACATATTCATCTAAAAAACTATTGCAATTACGATTAACACTAATGTCCATTTCTAATCACGATTTAACTTACTTCCTATCTTTTTCTACTTCTTATATCTAGTAAAGGATGAAAAGTAAGCTAAATCAAGATTAAAGTAAATCTGCATTGGTAGAAAGAAACATAAACGTGCGACGTTTATTTACTACCGAAAAAAACTATCGTTAATCCTAGCGACGTCGAGTTAAGCTCGAAATTATCCGCGATCTTGGCCTTCTTGAACACAGACGACGTTTCGTTGCGACAGAAACACATCATTAACACGATCACGCTAGCGATCTCTCAGTGGGGATGGACACGGGATTGTCGTTATTGCGACGCATTGCGCGCGTAGACGATCACCATCACCCGTCACGATTCTACTCTCCGAGGATTTCGCACTTTTGCTGCCGTGTAGGAGACACACAGAGAGAGAAAAAAAAAACAAGAAAGAAATCTCGAACTCGGATTCACAGTCACATGTCACGTCCGGAGAGACGCGAGGACCTCGCCGCGGTCTCGCGGGATCCGCCGCTACTTTCCGAGGAAACGACGGGGAAGCGGCGTCGGAGAAGGACACGTCGATCCCGGGATCCACGAGATCGGCGGATCGGGCACGGCAGCGTCCTTTCCCCTCTCGAATTTTCGGTCCACGATTTTCGGCGGAAGCCGGACGACGCGCGGACGGAGATGACGGAAACGTGCACCGCACGCACGAGGACGAGAAAACAGACGGACGGGAGTGAGAGAGCAGGAGCAGGCAGGGAGGCAGGTCGCGCGCGCGCGGAGTTCCCGCGATCGCGGAGCAAACCGCGGCGAGCTCGCGGACAAAAGGACGAGACTTACTTTCGCAGAACGCGGGGACAGGCGTCGGGCGTGCTCCGGTGCGACGGTGAGATCGGCCGCGTGGCGTGCGGCGCGTTAAACGCGAAGCGTTTCGTCGGCCCCCCCGAGTACAGACTTCGGTAGTGGTACGCGACGAAAAAGGTTAGTAAAATGGCGTCATATCAACGAGCGCTGCACCGTCCGTACTTCCAACACGTCCCCAGTGATGCCACCCTTTGTCATAGCTCCTCTCTCTCGTCCCCGGAGAGCCGCCGCCGTCGCGCGCGAGGTTAAGCCCGGAGTCCAATGGGCGGCACCGGATCCCAACGGGTCACGGGATGCCCGCCGACGATGACGTGACGTCGCCTCCGCGGATTTCAGCTCGGGCCTTCGCGTGCGAGCGGCGATGACGACGACGACGACGATGGGATGACAGGTGCGGGCACGAGTGCGTGACACTGCGCGAACGAATGCGAGATCGCGAGTGCCGCTCGCTCCGGTGCTCAGGGCCGTCGAACGGCGGCACGACGGCATCTCTCGCGGACGCACACGCGTACATCCAGCGTGGTGGCCGTGACACCCCCCATCCCCCCACTCCAGCGACGACACTTGACTACAAACTACACTCGACGACGACCGGTTAAACGACCGGCGGGCGGACGGGAGGGCGAGCGAGCGCGAACCGGCGGCGACACGGCGACACGAAATTGACGAAACCGCCGAGGGTTAAATCCTCCGATCAGCGGGACTCTTGATACCTCTCTCGGCACGTTTCCCGCGCGCGAGCAGCCCTGTTTACGAACGTGCCAATTAACGCGCGCCTCTAGTCTTGTCCAGACAGAATTTTGCACGACCGCGCGAAGCGTACGCATAGTAAACAGAGATCGACCAATCACGTGTCTATACGCAGAGCGGCGGCGTTGAGTCTCTTCGGCGTGATTGGCTCGCTTCTGTATAATTTGTCCGGCTGTGCCAATCAGGCTAAATGAGCTTTGAAACCTTCCTAGAAAACTTATTGGATTTCGCGTGTTGCAGGGTTTCGAGATGAGTTATTCCAACAATTGCCGATTAATTAGCTAATTTAATCAGCTGAGTTATTAAATGACGCGTGTATTATTTTATCAATACGGATGGAGTTATCAATTTTAGTTGTTGAAGATATTAAAGACAATGAATTAAATAATTAGTACTATTAATAATTAATTCTACCGGTTGATGTAATCATCGATTAAGTTAATCGCAGTTCAAAGTTGCCTTAAGTCTCCATAATTACTAATTACTCGATTAAACGCACTTTATAGTGTTAAAGTCTTGTACACAAATCTAATTTGAATGTAAATAAGTGTAACACAAATATCTCGAATGATAAAATACAATACTGTCCAAACAGAACGATAAAGTATTGAGAATTTCATGGTTTATTTATTTTAAACATTTTTACACCGATTTGTGTGCGACGGCTTTATATACACTATAAATAATGCACTAACAGCACTATAGTGCGTCCAATCAAATTCGCTGTTATTAGTATCATATAAATATAATTTATTCATAATTAATTTCCTTTACTTTTGATCTCAAAAGCTTATTATTCTACATATCGACGAAATCTAAAAGAACTTGAAATAATTGTAGATAATTAGCGATTGGTCGGAACGCGACGGTTCCATCCGAATGCTGCGAATGTAGCTTCTATCGCAAAATCGCGATCGCGACTCGCCATAGGGAAGTCGCGCTTGGCCGTCAGGTTTCTAGATACACGTCACCCTGCGCGATCGCGCGTTCTCTCGCGGAAAACTGCGGACTTGCGGAGTCGCCTGTCGCGCGCGGACGGTAGTAAAGTGTACGCGTATCGAGTATAGAATGCGTGCTCGTGCGTCGACGCGTATCAGACCGTCTCGCTCCTCGTATCTCGTGTATATCACGTTTGTTGATGCCACTCGCCTCACTCGCGATTCCTTGACGGGCGGCAAAAGCGAGACGCGCCGGCTATACGCGGCCAGGAGGTGCCTCACGTAATCGCGACGCGACGGAGATTTTACCACGGCTCGGCGGGCACGCGTCGCGGGAAGTCTCTAGGGGCAGGCTCGGCGGTGGGTCTCTGTGCGCGACACACTCACGGACGGTCGGACGTTGTCATTTGAAAACGGAAGCCATCTTGTGGCCGAGGCTCCCATATCACACGGGGGAATAAATAGTTCCACGGCTGTTTCTCCACGATAAATTGCTTCGTATCTCGCCAAATACGTCTGGACTATGCATGAACCATTTTACCGCACGTTCACATAGCCATGGCTGCGACAAGGAAGTTGCAAGGTGAGGAGAAAGTGTCTCCAGCGTGTTTACATTTTGGGTATATATCGTTATCGCCTGTTCCTGTCGCGAGCTCGCGGCATCGGATCCGCGGGACGGGACACCGTCCGCGGCCGTTCCCGGCTCCCCGGGGCTCGCTTCCCCGTCGCCGGTCCCTCTTTCTCTTTCTCTCTCGCCGATTCCGTCGCCGACGCGCGTGTAATCGCGCGCGCGAATCGCGCCAAGCCGCGGGCCAAGAGCGCACGGGTTCCCGGCATATCGCGCGGCCCGATCGTCCAGCGTCGTAGTCCAAATGGCTACGAAGCGGATCGGGCTCTCCGGCTACGAGCCCGTGGACCTCGCTCGCCTTTGTCTCTCTCTCTCTCTCTCTCGCTTGTCCATCGTGATCGCGGTCGACCCTTCACCGCGGACAACGCGGCGGCTTTTTATTTTGTCGGCATAACCTTTAAAAGTTTTAAACTTTAGCTCTTTAATTAATCGCGATGGCGCGAGCTGTGTTGTACCTCGAGACCCGCTTTCTGTATTCTCGCTATGGATGCAAATTATTATCTTGAAAGAATCGTGCAAGAATGAGGAGTTTTTTTTCTGTTATAACTCTATTGTAATGGTTGACTTTATGTATTCTTTGTCTTCTTCGCTTCTTCAGATTTTGATTTGCAAGGATTTATAATTTTGTTCTCTTTTTTTCTTTCTGAAGATTCTTCTTTAATAAATATATATGCGACATGTGTATAAACCACGATTTCCAGTTTTTTTTTATTTTCTTAAAGAGTAAGTAAAATAATTATTAAACTAAACACATTAAATCATATTGGTTTAATTCTTGAAAATGTTTATGCGATTGGTTTATGAATCGGAATAAGCCAGGAGTGAAGAGGGCTGATATATCAATTTTTTAAGTAATTTTTCTAGTAAAATCAAGGAAATGAATATAAAACAATGGAATAACTTGTATTATGTTTTGTTATTTCAGGTGAAATAGATCGGTGCCTTAAAAAAGTAACGGAAGGTGTGGAAACCTTTGAGGATATCTGGCAAAAAGTTCATAATGCCACGAACAGCAATCAGAAGGAAAAGTACGAGGCTGATCTCAAAAAGGAAATCAAGAAACTTCAAAGGTTACGCGATCAAATTAAGAGCTGGATCGCGTCGGGTGAAATAAAGGACAAGAGTACGCTTCTCGATTATCGGAAGTTGATTGAAACCGTTAGTATATTTGCTGCTGCACCTGCTTCTAACGAGTTCGAGTCGAAACTAAATACATTAGGATAAGCGAATTATTGTGAATAAGTTAATATAGTAAATGTTTTGTGGTTTATAGCAAATGGAAAGATTTAAAGTTGTAGAAAGAGAGACGAAAACAAAGGCTTATTCTAAAGAAGGTTTAGGCGCTGCTCAGAAATTGGACCCAGCTCAGAAAGAGAAAGACGAGATTACTAATTGGCTGGCCAGTTCTATAGACGCTCTCAATCTGCAGGTACCAGTCTTTATATCGATAACATCTCTTGGATCATCCTCGGTAGTGATCGGGTACAAGTTGCTGTAACACGTTACTTTTGGTATAGATGGATACATTTGAATCGGAAATAGAATCGTTACAGGCGGGAAAGAAGAAAAGGATAGACAAAGACAAGCAAGATAGGGTGGACGAATTGAAGGCAAAGCTGGACAAACACCGCTACCATATCCGTAAATTGGAGACGTTATTACGTATGCTTGATAATATGTCTGTCGAAGTCAACACAGTAAGTGTTTTCAGATTGGCATAATATGAAGCGATTGTGTAGCGGTTTATTTGATGATTTCCTTATTAATTTCCACGTGAAACGTGTTAACAGATTAAGAGGATAAAGGACGATGTTGAGTATTACATCGAATCTTCGCAAGATCCTGATTTTGAAGAGAACGAATATATTTACGATGATATTATCGGCCTCGATGAAGTTGAGTTGTCCGGAGTTGGCATCCCCTCGTCAGCAACGACGGATAGTAACAACAGCAATGAAACCGGAGGAACGCCAACCTCAACTAATTCCTGTACTTCGCCTATACCGTCGCCAACGTTGAGCTCTACTATGCATAACCATTCGAGCGATAGTTCTACAGATAATGACAAAAAAACCAAGGTGTGGGTCCTTTCATTCTCAATTTTTGTTTGAGAAAGTCAAAAAGGGGATCGATACTTCATTTTTGAAGGAATCTAGAAGTACAGATCAATAAGCCTTTTGCCGGGATTTATTGATATGGATATATGTGACATCGCTTCTGACGTCTCGTTTGATTTCAGCCTGTGAAACCGACAGCAGTTAGGCCGCTACTGAATACGCAAGCGAGCATTCCAACTACGGGAAGCACTGCCACCATAAAATCGAACATGTTATCGAGCAGCACTCCAAGCAAAACCATTCCCATGACACCTAGCCATAGCTCGCCTAGTTCTACGAGCAATCACATTGCCACGACTAATGCCGGCAATTTCGCCACCGTAGCTGCCTCGCACAGCAATTCGCAAGCCATCCATTCTACCTCCAACAAAACATCCAGTAAGACATTTTCATTTTTTTTTTACACGATTATTCATATCCGTGGATACTGTTAGAAAAGATCAATTCGCGCTTTTATAGGTATGGCTCGGTAAATAACATTAAATTTGTCTTTTTTGTTTTTTCGTAGCTCACAACAGCGAGAATAATATCTTGTCATCATCATCTACGTCCAGCGTTACGTCGAATGTGCCGCAAACCGTTGCGCAACAGCACAATAATAATCCGGCGCCGGTACAGACGACGACGCACGTATTGCACAGTCAGCAGAGTCAGAATCACAATAGCGAAACGGAAATGACTACACCAGTACCACCATCTTCGTCGCCGCAGTCGTCGGTCAGCAGTAGATCCTCGCCGATACCCGTAAACTCCTGCTCGCCAGCACCGTCCACTGCCAATGGTCTCATCCCTAAGCTTCCCGATGGAAGCATGTCCTCTCTAAAATCCATTGCCCAACAAGTAATTGTCCGAGCAGGTCTCGAGATACCACCTTCTGAGCCGAATAGAAACATCTTTGACAGTGCCAAGACGAGCAACAGCAGCAACAGCAACGCCACGTCGGAAGCACACATTCCTCCGCTGCTTGGGGTCGCGCCTCTAGGACCCGTACCGTTACAGAAAGAACACCAACTGCAGTTCCAAATGATGGAAGCCGCCTACTATCATATGCCACATCCGTCTGACTCGGAAAGATTACGTTCGTATTTGCCGAGAAATACATGCACCACGCCACCTTATTATCAGCAGGTACATTTCCTAAGCGTTTTACGATCTTCGATCGGATGCTAAATTCGGAATTCGCTCTCCGCACAACGAACGACTGCGTGGATTGACGCTGCTAACACACGCACGTGCTTCGTTCAGGTTCAGCTTCCCCATTCGGATACGGTGGAGTTCTTCCAACGCCTTTCTACGGAAACTTTGTTCTTCATATTTTATTATATGGAGGGGTCTAAAGGGCAGTATTTAGCAGCGAAGGCTTTGAAGAAACAAAGCTGGAGGTTTCATACTAAGTATATGATGTGGTTCCAGAGGCACGAGGAACCGAAAGTTATTAACGAGGAATACGAGCAGGTTAGTGCATTTTTATTCTATTCACGTTTTACAGGAAAATGGATAATTTATATCCTCTGAAGGAATTATAATAAGAAATGAGATAGGAGCGAACTAATCATTTAGTAGCACATTCTGGGCGTGATATCTGGTGAGGTTCTATAAGAATCACTTGTGTTTCAGGGAACGTACATCTATTTTGACTACGAAAAATGGGGGCAGAGGAAAAAAGAAGGATTTACTTTCGAATACAAGTACTTAGAGGACAGAGACCTGAATTAACAGTTCTGTCACTCGTTGAGTCTTCGAAATGCGCCGTTTCTGTACCGGTATTGTGTTATCTGAACTTTCATAGAAGATGATAATTCTGTTCGGTATAAAATCGGTAGAGTCCAATATTAAAAAAAAAAAATCAGTTAAAAATGAACAAATTTGTGCATAGAAAGCAATGAAGGCATTTCATTACATTTCGATGCTGCGACGACAAAATCTTAATCCTTTTTTTCGATGAAAGATGAAACGAAAAAAAGATTGAAAAAAGAAACACACTGAAAGATTGTATGGGAAATAGATCGTAATTAATTGTAAATGATAACGAGACGAAGCAAAGGAAGGAGAGATTCGGGAAAGACGAAGAAAGAAGGACTGCAGAGACACGTGGAATGATTCAGTGTGCTGTGTGATAACAGGAAAGAATGAAAGAAAGCGAGCGAGAGAGAGGGAGAGAAAGGATGATATACTTGCTGGCGACTGACTTCTGTAATACCAGTACAAACATGCGTGCGGCCCGTCTGCCGTCTGGCGGTAAGGTGGAGGGCGCTCATGCTATGGTACGTCTTAATGTTAGATTATAAGTAGCCTTTTTGTATAAAGTGTATCGAGGTATAAAACCCTTAAATTGAATTAATGTACAGAATGTGTAGAAATAGTGAATAATAATATTATGGAATATATTTTATTTCTCATTTGAATGAAACCTAAGTTGTTTCGATTTTTGTCACGCACTAGCACATCATCTCAACCTATGTTTGGAAAAAACATTCCATCCATCGTGATTAAAACTCCGCTTTCGAAATAGGTTACTTATATGCGTTCTAACGATTGATAAGGCCGGGGCTCGTCGTCGAAGTTTTAAGATTGTACCGCGTTGTATAATTAACTGTAGCGTGCTAGGCTAAGCTTCTCATGCTACACACTTTGCAATCCTCATATTATGATACTTTACAAGCATTTCAACTTTTACTAACTTGTCGAGTGGCGTTAATCGCTGTCGATATGCATGCGCGTATCTGTTTTATCGAGAATCGCAGAGAGGAATCGTGTACTGTGCGAATTTATTTATATTATAAACTGTCAGTATTACCGTAATAATGCTAACGCACGCATTTATGTCCGAATAAATTGCTGATACTATGAAACATTTTTACAAAACGAAATCAACGTTCCAGTTGTTTCGTAATCTGCAAAAAGAAAGGAAGAAAAGTATTCAACAGTATGTCCAATCTTGTACTTTCAAGTTTACAGAATGGTGATAGCTGTTATCGTTTTAAAAGACGTTAAAATACTTTGTAATATACACAGATTTTTATTAGGCATTGTTGATCATGTTGTAAGGATGGTATCGGTATCTAAAATAAATAATTTCGCACATTACATCGCAGATCAAAGTGGTTCCTCTTTTTATGAGTGCGTCGTTTATTATCGCAAGAGCCTTCGACAACGAGATTAGATATACATCCCCCCTTCCCTAGTAATAAAAACTAAGTTGAGATTCTCATACAATTGTTTAGCGGGATAGAAATGAAATTTAATTACCGAATAAAGCGTAGCGTATATACATGTACTCTAAGCAGATACTCTTGTTGCAGAGGTTGCGGCGATCAAATATTATTTGCATGACGAAATCGCACATTTTTTCAAATTTACTTTAGATAATCGAAGAGACTCGTAAAGATTATACATCTGTAAAAGAAAACAACAGTAATTATGTACGCGGCAAATGTTTACGCAAGATTTACAGCATACGATTGTAGGAATTTTTTTAATCTCGGCACAAGATCGACAAAATTCCGACGCGTCAAAACGTCATGTCAAAACGTCATGTGCGATAACGATTTTACCGAGTACTTGCTTGCACACAAAATGTGTTTGTTAACAAGCTTGCATCGCATTCGTAACCGAGTTAAATGCGTGATACCACAGTTTGAAATTGCAGCATTTTAATTAATGCTTTTTGCAACGACAAGACAACGGCAGAGCACCGAAAAATATTTTCCAATGCACGTTTATATTTGTTAATCTGCGCGATACGCGATTATGTGCGTCGCTAAGCGGTTTAAAAAAAAATATCACGAAAAATAATGAGGATTTGTTGCCACTTTATACAATTAATAATCTCCTAGCGACTTAGAAGATGCATCGTAGTTGTAAATTCGAAGGAACACCTACCGTGTTTCTTATACCGTATTTTGTACTACAAAAACTTGTACAATGGATTACTGATTTTCTATAGGGGTTTGATGAAAACAATCAATTTATCGATTTTACAGTAGTGTAAAAGCTGTACATAACGACCGTTATAACATTTTTCTGCTGTAGGGACGAACGTGCTTTCCTTTGTCTGCATTTCTTCTCGTAAACGGGATATTCTGCTTATGTGATAACACTCAAATAGAAGCGTGCAAGTGAAAGAAGACCTCCGTTTGTTATGTAATAACAAATTCTGTCTTCGATGCTTCGAATTAATTTCCCCTAACGCGTTCATCGCAAATGATAAAGAAATTGTGATTTTACTTAATAATATATTTTATTGTGATTATTTGAGTGATATTTAATACCATACTGCTTTGTGCAAAGACTTCAAGTCGTTAAAATACAGTACTAATTTCTTCAGTATAACAATGTTTGCCTTATTGCTGAATTTTAATTATATTTCAGATCTTACAGGAGCATCTTCGTACAAATTTCTGTCCCATTTGCTAATTCAGCCAAGCTGCACCAGACTGTGCGCCATATGTAATTCATAATTCATAGTTCGCTTTCGTACAAGATTCGTGAATGGTGCGAGTTGGCAAATTCGTCGATTTTGTTGCTTACCAAACTTATCGATTTTTGAATAAAATTAAAGAGCGTGAATCATCACGAATCAATCGATATGTACACTCTAGAAAGCCCATTATTATAATTAACATAATTTATCAGAAAGTTGTTTACTTACAATAATGGATTTTTCAATATGATAATTTAATACATTTTCCATAATGAAATCCAACTGAATAGATAGATGCATACTTACTCGCATATTTATAACGTGCTTATAAAAGAATACCTAAGTAATTGTGAAAACCCAAGAATAGAGATTACAAAAATAGAAAACAAATTACCGTTGAATTATCATGAATCATGAAGCACATTGGCGAACGGCGAATTTCCAAAAATCTTGTACAAATAGCGAATTTTGAATCACAAATTATAAATCGCGCATATCCTGATGCTTTAGCTTTAGAGTGACATAATATATTTTTATATGAGCTCAGAATCTAAAACATAAACAGATACACAATATACAATAAATATGAATATGAAAAGATACATGTACAATGAACATGATTTAAAAAAAAAAAAATTTTTTTTTATTTGCAAGTGAGGTAGGAATATGAAGATTGAAAGGTTATTGAATTTTTGTTCTCTATTAAATTGCATTTATATTACCGAATTCAACCTTGAATTAAGTCTTATATATATGCATTTCTATGAACTATATTTTAGTACAATTATATAATTCATATTTGTTTAACTCGATTCGAAGTTTGGCTCACATCATCTAATGAAACATGTAAACTTTATCACGTAACTTTTGATACAATGGCAAAATGCCAATTTTTGCTGATACGCTGCAAGCTTAGCTGAGTAATATTGAAATATTCGTAACAAGGTGCTCCAGTAGTGTGAATTTTAAAGCATGGTAGTCATAGAAAGAAAAGACTTTATTAAATCGAAATTAATTGTTCATTAATATTAACATATCTTACAATATCTAATTCAATATCATCCTCACTTCCTTTTGGTCTTTACTTTCATTCGTTTTCTCACTCCAATAGACTGTTCTGTGTCGTCATCCTCGTTGCCACCACCGCGTCTTCGTTTACCCGACTTTTTGTTCTCTTCAATGTTTTTCATGTCCTAGGGTGTTACAATAACATTTATATGCAATCCCGTCCACGTCTATTATCAAATCGCTCATTGTAAAATCATTCTTACCATTTTTACTATTCGCTGCGCCTCGCTCACTCTCTCTTGCAGCAACATCACTTCCTCCTCTTCCGTAGGATATAGCGGCAGTTGTTTCGATATCAACTGTTCTATTCGTTGATACAGTTCCACGTCGTATTGCGTAACAAATGTGATGGAACGGCCTGATCGACCTGCACGCGCAGTTCGACCTACTCTGTGTATATAATCCTTACTGTGCGTAGGAATATCAAAATTGATGACGATATCTACGTGCGGAATATCGAGACCTCTGCAAAGAACAATGCAAAAATGATTTAAAATTTATTTTTAATATAAAACATTTTAATATAACAATATCTTCGGTTCAGATTTACGGACTAACCTGCTAGCAACATCCGTTGAAATTAATATAGATCTGTTTTTCGCTTTAAATTTCGTAAGCGCGGCGATTCTCTTGTTCTGCGACATTTGTCCGTGCAAGGGCACCGCCGTGAATCCTAGGTTTCGCAACAGCAGGGCAGTTCTTACTGTGTTATTGCAGGTCCCGCAAAATATCATGAAACTGTTGCCTGCCAGTTCATTCAAGATGTGTACGAGGTACACGTCCTGCAACGACCGTTTTATGATTACTCTATCGCATGTGATGATTGATATTTCTTTTTGTGACTAACAAAACAGTTATATATCGTTTATATTTCGTACCTTGAATTTCACTGGAATAAATACGTAATATTGTTGCAGTTTTTCTACAGTCTGATACTTGGTAGACACTTCAACTTTTACGGGATTGCGTAAGGATGCACGTTGCAACTTCTGCACCTTCTTTGTCATCGTTGCTGAAAATAGTAACGTCCTTCTTTCTCGTGGTATTACTCTGAGAATTTTATCAACCTCTACCTCGAAATCCATGTTCAAGATGCGGTCTGCCTCGTCCATCACCTTGCGAATAAAACGAGAGAGAGAGAGAGAGAGATTAGAATGTGATGATTGTCAAAATAAATCCATATGCTATGTATAATTACCAGGAACTTTAACTGTCGTAAATTGAAGCCTTTTGTATTCTCCAAGTGGTC